ATCTGTCTTGGTATCTCTTTATATAACTTTAATCATGGTGCGGTGTGGCAACAAATCATGTGGCTGATAATTCTTTTATTTTATCTTAGATTTTTTAATATAAATTTATATATAGAAAAGTTTACATATCTACTGGGGGATGAGATACTCATAAGGTAGGTATTTCACCATTATAATATCCCTATTTTTAGTCAATTTAGTTTGAGAAATTATTTGTCTAGATTTTTTTCTCCATTGGTGAGATTTTATACCTTTTTGGGTATCTCATCAATATAGTATTGATATTTTTATGTTTTCAATTTATTTATTTTTTTATGTTAAAAGAGTACAATTTTTCATTCAATCTTAAATCTTATGATAAATTCTAACAACATATCAAAATATAATTTTTATTTTTTCAAATCTCATATTTTTAAAATATTAATGTATTAACTAAAACAATACTAATAATAATTTAATATTATTATATTATCCTTGATTAATATTAATTAAACTAATATTTATATAGTTTAAATTTATGCATAATGGAGCTTAATAAATAGGTAATTTTATTTTATGATTTATAACATAATAAAAAGGAAAAAATAACAATATATAAACTATTTAATTAGTATTCTAAACTATAGAGTATAGAGTATTTGATTTATCACAAAAAACTTTAGCCACTCATAAAAAGACATGTGTCTCATCTTTGATGAGAGAGATGGTATCTCATGGAGTTCTCAAATGAGAACCAATTCAAACTTCTCTGGGCAATGAAGTGTATGATTGATGCAGATTATCAAGAGGTAGCGTTCTTTACAGACTGTTCAGACCTGGTGAAGATGGTGTCTTCTCCAACCGAATGGCCGGCGTTTTCAGTGTATCTGGAGGAATTTCATACCGACAAGGAGAAGTTTTCATCTTTTTCTTTATCTTTAATTTCTCGTAGGGCTAATGTTAAAGCAGATAATCTGGCACGAAAAGTTCGTACATAACCGCTTCATATCACCTATGTAAACAACATTCCTCAGGAATGACTCTTTTGAGCTTTAATTAATTTTGGATGACGAAAAAAAACCAATTCAAACTATATAAATTATGTTTAATGATCACACAACGGATCCAGGAGATTATGTTTCAAAACTCAACATAAAATAAATTTTAGATGTGATAATATATAGTGGATTTGCTAAGAAATATATATCGAGAGAAAGAGAGAAGAAATAAGTTGTTTGAAATTTTGAATCTTTGATAAAGCTGGCACTTGTATATCGATTATTTGAGCCAAACAAATATCTATTATTTTGTTCAAAAAGTAACTAATTGAAGAGGTAAGGTTGTATGAGGAAATTTTTGTATAGAAAATAGACAAAGAATAAATCGAAGAAAAGTGTGCTAAGTGTCTTTTGGCTTGTGGGGTATTTTGGGTGCGAATTCGTGCGAAACTCCATTAGGCCACCTTTCTTATTTCACATATATTTACACATTTTTGCATGATTATACAGGATACATGCATGCCCATATATATCATGTATGTGTCAAGATATGCATTAGATCAGAATGTGTGTACACATGCCAATTAGCTATAGTTGTGAAAATCAATTGATTATTATATTTTTAGAAGTCGTCGAATCAATGACCTTTTGAAATACGGTATACATTAGATCTACTACATATATATAGTGTGGTACTGGGCCACTGGCTACAATACTATACCGTCTATACGTACGCGGATCAGCACGGTTTCTTGGGACTTTGAGAAAATCTGGTTTGCTTTTGATTTGGTTCATATGAGATCAGAACCGGTTAACCAAAATGTATTTTATTTCCTTATATTTGGGGATGCACCATAGCTTAGTCTATAGAATTGAGGCTGGACCGGGCCAGCATCCTAAAAAAACAGAGTCAATTATTGGACCGGCTTTATATTTTAATGTTCATCTTACGTAATGAAACGAAGCTCTACAAGAAAAGTATGATTAATGCTAATTCAATCTCCTCATGATTAGACCACATGCGCACCTTCTCACTTTCATATAAACGTATACATAATACATGTAAGTTATAACCAATATAAATAGTGTGTATATGACTATGAGCGGTATAATATATTAATTAGAATCTAAGGAAGTGAGATTCTTTAGCCGCTTGAATACTTTGGCGATCGTTGATTGTACCATACTTTGAGCCTGAAAAGCTAATCTTTTCATTGTAATTAAATAACTAAACTTTTGACTAATGCCAAACAAGAAAATTTGCCATTCTCTTTTTATTCACTTTATAATAGTGTTGTTAAAAAATAATCATTCTTATGGGAAACCCTATGATTCTTTAATCATATCTATTAACGCCAATTTGTAAGCTTTACATTCAAGCAATACCTAACACGGGGAGCTATCTTATTACCATATGATCGTCACTTAAGTAGTAT